TCTCTCTTCTCTTTCTCCCCCCCCCCTCAACCAGGGCAGTACTAGTGACTGAAGTTGTCTTTACGCCATTCCCAAAAGGGGAATATTAACTTGTTTTTAAGCACAGTTGAATTGTAAATGGGCTGATTTATCAATTTCAGGCTTACAGTGTGCCGGAACAACATTGGGGGAACTGCTGCTTTTTCTTTTCTCATCCTTACTATTGCCATGTTCCTCTACTGCTTTTGTGTGTTAATCACTCTCTTGAGAACTGCTATTTCCGGGGTGCCTTGATAGTCGAATCAGACTTAGTACTGCTGAGGCTAGAGAGCTGAGCAGAGCAATCCTGATTCTCCGTTTGGACTCCTCTGTTGACATCCACCCCTTGGCGCTCAGAGTACCTTATGCAGTTGCGAGTGCCGTAAAACCTTACTAAAACAAAAAAATCCCCCCTCTCTCTCCTTCTCTCTCTGTCTCTCTCTGTCTTTTTCTCTCTGTCTTTCTCTCTCTCTCTCTCACTTACACACTCACACTCACACACACACACAAACACACACACACACACACACACACACACACACACACACACACACACACACATACACACATTCATGTGCTTCATCATCATTACCTTTCTCACCCTGGATAACGAACAAACACATTTCACCTTTCATTATCCTGGACTACTCGCTTGACGTCACTCCATGTCTTCCCACTTTTCTGTACATCTATTTCCGTGACCCTTCTCCAGGAAGTAACACTTTACTTGTTATGCAGCTGCTTGACTTCCTGAGAGTGTGTCCAATCCATCACCAACGCCGCCTTCCCACCTCGTCTCTAACTGGGCTTTGTGTCGTTCTTCTTAATACGTCCTCGTTGGTGACCTTGTCTGTCCATCTGATCCTCAGTAGCTTCTTTAGACACTTGTTCTAGAAAACCTGGAAGCGTTCCATGTCTCACATCCATATAACAAGACTGGCTTCACATTTGAGTTTCTTGTGTCCATCTAGGAAACTTACTTGAACTTCGTTCTCTTAGTTCCAGTTCTGGTTCCGTGCTTTTCGAGACGATCAAGCGTCTGCCTCTTTCTGTACTGCGACATCTTCCAGTGATCGCCTGAACCTACGAGACATACAAGCAGTGGCGTCGCGTGGGTTGCAGACAAGGTGGTGCATAATTGGAAAGTGAGCAAATGGACAATAGGCTTAGTAGCTACTATTACGATCTCTGGAGAAAGTCAATTAGAATCTGCAGGATATCCCGTAATCCACATCTATCGATATTTACAACTGTTTCAACATGAAACGGCATAAACGCTTCAATAAAGTGAAACAATACTAATAACTCATTACGCTCACAATCTGAGAAGTTTTAAAGGTTTCTAATGACTTCGTGCAACGATAGGACTTGCTACACAATAGAGGGAGACAACAGTTTCGATACCCATTCTTCATTGAGTTACCGTAGACTCTACTAGTGTAGTAGATAGCCTCGCGGAAACTTGGATCTAATTTTAAGCTTGCATCAAATTGGTGCTGAAAAGAGCAGTTTCATGCACCTTTCTTCCAGTGCGGAAAGAACAATGCCTAGATGTCTCTACAGTGAAAAAAAAACAACCAACTTTGGTGCAAAGATTTTGCTTACTCCCAGCAGACACTACCGCAAGCGAGGCGACGAGCATAAACCATCATCGCCATCTATCTCTCCACTGGCGCAGCGCGCAGGTGACGGATCGCAAGGATGCAGGCCTAAAGTAAATCTAGCTCACTGACGGCTTTAGAACAATTAGGAAAAAAAGAGGGGGGGGGGGGTGAAGACAAGGGTTAGGTGGAGCGCTTGCACCAGTTGCACCAATGGCGCCCCGCCACTGCATACAAGAATGAGCGATCTGGCTCTCTGTCACTCCATCAGTGATACTCAAGCAGCCTTGTGGAGCCTCCAATACAAAAACTGTTGAAAGCGCAAATATATTTGCAAATCGCTCCCGTTCTCATTAATTGGTCCCGAGCCATTTTGTCACATAATTCCCTCATCCCCTATGTTGTCCTGACCAATCTTGGCATTGGCATCTCCCGTTATGATGTTTACATTCTTCCTTGGTGGTTTGTCGATGACCCCCTGGAGCCAGCTATGAAAAGCATCCTTGTCTTCATTCGAAGCATCATTTAATACTAATAATTTGGTTGGGGCGTAGATCTGCACTATGTTCATGTTGAAGCTATTAATCCTTGTCGTGAATGAAGCCATGATGATCCTCTCCCTGTGTCGTTCCCGTCATCTGAGTGACTTTTTTGTATACTTACTCAAGATGATTCCAACTCCTTTCGCATGGTGCTTGTCTTCCTTCCCAGAATACAGTATTTGTTCCTCCGAACTAAGCTGCTTCTGTACAGACTGCATCCTGTGGGTTTCGCACACTCCTAGTATGTGCTGCCTGTATCTCTTTATCTCTTTATCTCTTGTGATATTTGATAACTCTTTCCTGCTTCATACATGATGCGAACATTTCACGATGCAATCCGGAGAGACTTGTTCGACTGAGAAGGTTTCAAGCGAGAAGAGTCCTTTCGTCTTTGTCCGCTGTACTTCATCTGCTGATGCAGAAACTCCTCCTTTTCCCAAAATGAAAAAAATAATAAGGCCTGCTTGCTCGTATTTCCATAACTTTCTGTTTTTACTGGGTTGTGTAGTTGCCCCCCCCCCTCCCCGCAAACTGGCCCTTTTAAGGAGACCAGACCTATGCTCCTTTAGTCGCCTCTTACGACATGCAGTATCACGGCAGTTGTATTCTAGTAAAACTATGGGACCCCCTCAAATATGCTTACATACAAATAAGCATACATACATGCATACACACACTTAATCTCTCGCACACACTCACTCACACACACATACAAAAACACACACACACACACTCACACACACACCCACACACACGCACACACACACACACACAACACACACACTTAGCCAATCACTACAAAATCTCAGTTTGAAAGCCTCCATTAGAGACATGGACAGAGGGACACACAGACAGACACCACACACACAGACACACACACACACACACACACACACACACACACACACACATATACACACACACACACACACACACACACACACACACACACATACACACACACACACACACACACACATAGCCACTCACTACAAGATCTCAGTTTAAAAGCCTCCACTCCAGACATGGCCAGTAGGACGGTGACTATGACAAAAGCCTTCATCTTGCCTCCCTCTTCCTGAGTTTTCTCTGTGGACCAAAAACAAAAAAACGAAACAGCCCATTTTGACGTCTCTTGACGTAGATCTAAACCATCTAAACAGGCGTCTGTGGCGTGGTGGTTCGTGGCTTCTCTTTTGCACGCAGTAAACCCGAGTTTGATTCCCGAAAGGAGACAATTTTTGTTGACTATCTAGATCTTTTTACTTTAATGTTGTATCCCTCTCAGTAGTCTCAGCCGGGTTGATCCTGACAGGCAGAGTGGAAACCGCCTCTTAAGTGACCTAAACCGTGTTGATGGAGATTCAAAAATACCAACATCTACATTTTCATTTGAAATGCAAAACTTTGAGGGGAAAGCTAAAATCAGTTTATGGAAATAATCAATTGTGTGGGCTTATCGTCCCTTTCAACACTGAAAAGTTACTCAAGAGGTCCGGACAAAAGTAAAATATGGTCAGCTTTGAAATCTCCCCAAACAGCCTCACATTAATATCCCCATTTAGGATTCAAACAAAGGACACGGCACTTACATGACCTTATTGTGTTGCAAGTGCCGTAAGACTCTTACTAAAACTAAAAACTAAACTAAACAAAAGACTTCTATACACTAACCTATAGCACTAACAACTGAGTTAACGGCACAACTGGTTTAAAGAAAGGCGAGTTGGTAAAGTGTCCAGATGTTCTTACCTTGATCTGCGTGTCTGATCAGAACTTGTGGACGGTACACAAAACCAATGTCAAAGAAACACACACATGTTTTATAATACGGAATTTTAAGTTTGTGATGACCGGACACTTTGTAATCTCCCTGCACAAACTTTAAAAAAATAACAACGTGTGTGGCACCGTGGTGAAATCAGGCGCTCGTCAAAATAACAAAATCGAAGAAATCTACGTGTTCCCGTCTGTTGGGCAATTGTTATCGAACATTTTTTTTTCATTTTCCCCCTTTTTATGTCCATATAAAAACACATTTCTGTGTGAATTTTAGCGTAAAACATTGATCAAAGGTTCAAAAAAGTGAATTTGCAGTTTCCAATGACACTCAAGCTTTGACATTCACCAGACCTTGACGACTATATTATCTCAGTAATGTTACCTCTGACACCGGGAGACCCCCACCTCCTTCAAACGCAAGTATCCCGACTTCTTTTTAAGATGTAGTATAGCTGATATATAGAGGTTGTTGTTTTTTTCATTAAAAGCAAGACAAGAGAACAAGCTTTAAGGTGATACTAATAACTCTATTGCCCCCAAATTGACGAGCGCCTGATTCCACTGTATCGTGACACACTTTGTCCCATAAATTATCTTTCTTCTATCATTGGATATTGCAGCAATTCCTAACTGGATGATTCTTATCTCGTCTTTGGAGCAGAATTTTTGCATGTGAACTTTGTAGTAGATTGGACTGAAAAGTAGAAACATACAGAAAAAGACTAGATGACGGACGATAAGGATTAACCCTTTCTGTGCCTGGCAGTTTCAATCTATGTATGTACAAACAAGTTGAAATGTTCACGCTGGAAAGATTCACACAACACCATAATACCATTCCCACGCAGTAGGGAGACATACCGACTACTTTTGTTTTGTAATCAACCGCTTCGCTGTCGCACGCTGAAGACCTGGGTGGGCAGATTATTTTTTCTCGAGTATCCCGCTATTTTTGCTGGAATGTTGCATCCTACTTAGCTTTGGTTGGCCCTGACAGGCAGTGTAGGAAGCCCGCCTCCTGATTTACCAAAATTGTGTTGATCGAGATGTAAAAAGACCCACATTAGGAAATAAGAAAAAGCAATTGTAAAAGTTGCAATTACATCTTCTAACACGTCCTCTTTATAACAGTAGAAACATGGGCAGTGTGTGTATTTGTGTCTGTGATTATGTATTTGTGAGTTAATGTGTGTGTGTGTTTGTGTTTGTGTGTGTGTGTGTGTGTGTG